TAAAATAGTTGCTATCCCCTATCATAATACTCTTAATAATTATCTCTTCCAAATTTCCTACCAAAGTTGTGTACCTATGGTTGGAAAGAAGATTGAGAAAAGAGCCAAAATACGTCGGCTGCCTATAAACAACTCTCCCTAACCCACCCTCTTCTCTAACGATCTGAACATCCAAAAGGGTAACGACCTCTCCTCTTCTATTTCCATCGGGGACTTAATTTTCCGTTTTCATTGGCTAAGCGGAAGTTCGAAACTTTCTAAGCTTTTCCTACCATTAAAGCATATGACAAAATAGTCATCCATTTATCTAACCAACAATTCAGAGGTTAGTGCTGCCTATTCTATATATGTTCCTCAAGCTTGACCATATAGTTGTTCGCAAAGATCAGAATTAAGCAAGATCCCATCGCAAATCTTTGTGTCTGTCATAAAACCTGCCATCAAAGGTTAAATAGTTTCTCGAAGGTATGTAGGCAAAGATGGTTTGCCTTTTTGTCTTCCTACCAATATGACTGAGTTGCGAAAATAAGGTCAAACAACTTCTAAATAGTTTCTACTAATGGACAAGTTAAGAAGTCTAATAATGGTGGCTGTACTTAACCTTATTCCTTCTATGCTCTCTAAATGCTCCCCTATCGTTTGTCATATAGCCTGAACGGCTCCCTGAACAGGAATATTTGTGAAATACACACATAATCAAAACTTGAAAACCTGTACTTTTCTGAAAGCATCTGATGATCAATCAATTTCACAAACTCATAATAATTTTTTAATGAATATAGCCAAAAATCCGCAGCTTTTTTTAGCTGTATGCATAAAAAACGTGAGATATTTTGCATCACATTTATTTTGTTATTTACTGTTAATCTAAGGGGAACGTCCTCTTTATGAACCATAAGGAGACCGTAAGCCGTAGCAGGACTAGTGTGAAAGATAATTAGCCAAACTATCCTATATCTATCTATGACTATTAATTTTTATTTTTAGTTATGAGTTTATATAAGAGGTAAGATAGAGCGGATATTTTTCTTTGTCTAGTGTTAACATCATACATTTAAAAGAATGAGTTCCAGCTCGGATGATGTCCATCATCTGATGGACGAAAGTTCAGCACTTTTTCACCAGAAATGAGGGAGGAAGTATCGTGGACTGCGTCAACCTGAACGTCATATTAAACCAAATGGCTGCAGTAAAACGAGATTTAGCCGTTGTTTTCTGCTGAGATCAACCTACGAACCTCTTCTTCATGTACTTTCATACGAAATGAAAATTTACCCAACAATAATTTATTTTTATAAATGCAATATAATTAATTCAAACTTTAGGTCAAGCTTAAGAATGGAAGCTAGCCGCTGGTTAATTGGTTTTTAACTTCCTCCCTATCTACTCATGAGTATCTACCCATCCACATTGGCATTCCATGCGCTATGACCAGAATAGCATCCAAAAGAGTGGACTATGTAGCTTTAGGCTCAAACTTATGTGCATGAGCGGCACATACTTCACCTTTAACGATAAAGTTTATGAACAGGTGCAAGGCCTAGCAATGGGATCAAGCTTGG